GAAATAAATTCATTAGTAGTCTGAGTTTTTTGCCCAGCAGCCCTCGAGACTCACTTAAAGTACTCACATCAAATATGCCATACGTGGCCTGTCACAAAATGAGCTTGACCCGTTATGTTAAAATCTTGCAAGCACGTTTGGAACTAATCAGAAGCGTAAAAATTTATTCGACACGAATCTGCTCCATTCTAAATCTGCAGTAAAAGCTTGGGCCGACTGCTTAGTGTCAAATTGGACAATTCACTCAAAAACACAGCTAAGTTTTTCTAAAGCTGAGCAACAACACCCAAACATGATCAGTTGAGCTCCGAAACAGTGGAGAAATCGTATTCTAGTAAATCTAAGAGCAAACTGACTTAAAAATGACGTGAACAACTAGATTTAATCATAACACGGTTTTACTACGCTTTTTAAATCAATAGAAATTGGTCTGTTGCTGAAAAACTCAAAATGAATAAAAAGAGTTTTGGCAATGAAAAAGATGGGAAGTACCTCGGACAGCTGCAGGGAACGGGTTGCTAAAGAGGTCAATATACTCTTCTTCGTGCTTCGCAGCATTTGCCTGATCGTGACGGTACAAAATACTCACTGCACCCTGCAAATGTAAAAATACATGCCTAATTTAGTACAAGGAGTAACCAGACAGATCAAAACTTTAACTCTGAAGCATTTAATCGACTTCTTTTTTCACCTCTGAAGAAAAAGAGAATGGCATGAAAGTAGATCGCCTCAGGTGGGCATTTGACGGTACGGCAATTCAAGTCAGTAGGGGTAAATGCTTTTTTCATCAAATAACCCAGGCCGGACCGCATCAGGCTTGCCTGTGCGATCATGCGTTTTTGCACTTAACTCCCACGCCACTAATAGCGGGGATGATCCCTGAATTGTAGCCTATCACTTGGGCTCATATTGGCCGTGCTTTGGCCATTTCCGGCATGCAGGAGAAAAGGCTTCGGTTGGTGTGAAGGCGATGCATTATAGAGCCGTAAGAACCTCCAGGTACATGATCACCAATTTTTTGCATGAAGCCCGGTTGTTTTTTCGGCAAATGCTCGCTCTGTGAAAAAATGACAAATGCAAATTTTTTGAAAAAACGCAGATTTTACAGCTCACTAGAGTGGAAATGTTACTAAAGCGGTCGTTTGTCAAAAAATGCAAATATGCAAATGAAATGAATGTTCAGTTACATATTTGGATAAGGGCGGTCGTTCGTTGCAAAATACACTCGTTTCTGATTTTCCAGTAAAGTTAAGTATTTCTCACGCTCACTTGCAAGTAATTTCACCTCTAAACAGAACTAAGGTAGCACTTAAAAGTAGAATATCTCAGCAAATTTTCAGCAGCGCAGCTTACCCGGTAAGCGGAATATGCACTTCGCTACAAATATCTTTGAAGTGCTCTAAGTCGTAGCGCAAGTGCGAATTGGTACTCACTTTGGGTATATGATTTACTATATGGGAGAAAAACATGTTGACAAAATTTCAGCCACTTTTTCGGCAAGTTTTCGAATTATCACAGTACCAAGTCGCAAACTTCAATGTGGTCGTACACGCTGCACAAGCGTGCTCGGCAACTGAAATTCAAATGTTTAGCTCGCATATGCGCAGAGAATATCTCTGAAGAGTTTCGGCTTTGTAGCTTAGATTCGCAAAATCGTTCCCGCCAAAGAAATTTGCATTTTTTAGGGGTACATACGCGGGGTCTAGGCGCATGTGGAGGGGGGGGGGGCAGGAAAATTTTAAAACGGAAGGATGACAAACGGGGTAAGAACATATACGCAAAAT